TTCACGTAAAAATGTTGTTTTTTCCCTTACTTTTTTGCAGTTGTCGCTTTTGAAATCTTTGAGTTTGCTAATAAAAATTTCATTCAAGTTTAAAAATATCAATCAGAAATAAAAAAATTCCAATTTTGGAATTCCATGCCCATATAGGTTGAAACGTATGTTATTCAAAATTTGATGGCTTAGTACCGTTTTTTTATCACATGGAGAAACTTTATGAGATTTTTCAATATTTAATTCTTAAATATAAACACAGGCGGGCGATAAACATTTAGTGGCAACAGAAATAACAACACATCAAAACATCGGGTTAGCCATGTTGGCGGGTTTATTGCCCATTGAAAAACAATCGCCAAGCAGTGGGCTAAACCGCATATTCATTTTACTGTTCGTAATAACAACATGTAAAAATATATCTAAACGTTTATATACCATCAGTCATTAATATTTCCAATATACACACGGCATTTTGTTATTAAGGGCTACATAACCTTGTTTCTATTGTGTCTTCGCGTTTCTGACATAACAAAAAAATTTCAGAGCAAGAAATGTGGTAAAAACAGGAAAGATCACAACACTTACACTTTACAACTGTTTGACAATTCTTGATTCAAATGCAGGACTTTTCTTGACAAAACACCAAACTCACATCAAACACTCAAAGTAAAAACATTAAACTGAGGAACCGTTGCCAAATGAGAAAATGCATTGTTCTTCAAATCAACACAACCCGGAAGACGGAAAATTTCATTTTAAAGAATAAGTGAAATGAATGCAATGACATACAAACGTTAATAGCTGATGATCATATAAATTTTTATTTTTAGGCTGTGGTCGAAATTTAAACAATTATTTTGTTTTTTAACAACTTTTATTTATTGTTATATTGATGTTTACTATTCTAAATATGGCAATACCAACGTTTCAATGTAAACATATACGCGTGGTGTCGAATTTGGAAATAAAATACGCCGTTTTTGAATTAGTTTTTTTTGAAAACTAGTACACAGTCATTTAAAACTTTATAAAAATAATATAACAGTTGGTTTTACTAGATAAGGCAATAAAATTTTTGATAATGAGACCACAAGTGTAAGGAAACACATTTGATGAGTTCAGCTTTTTTGTTCTTTTTATTTATTTTTAAACTGAAATGACTATCTTTAGCTTTAAACTTAACACAATGAACGTGTCAAGAAAAGCCGACCTTAAGTGATGTTGTTGCCTTTGGAAGATTTGTAAACAGTTCGTAATTTTAACTATATTGTAATATCGTTTAAAACCGTATTGCAATATATTTTTCGTATTTTCATTTCCGTACACTCACAACAGGCAATTCTTTGTACTTGAAAAGTTTTGTTTTTCAAATTCCGTTGCTAATTACTGTATTTAATGAGTTTAAGAATTTGTTATATCCAAAAAACATTAGATATTATTATAAGTCTAAAGACTTCTGTATATAAGTAAATTTTAAGATTACATAAATTAAGGATATTAAATTGCTTCAATTTTTTTTTATTTTTTTTTTAGTAGTCTTTTTCCACATATGTATTTTTAAAGCCTTACCTCAACTTACAAAACTTAATATTTCTGTTATGATACATCTGTGCTAAATATTTGTCTTGTATTTTAGTTGTTATTCAGTTAAGTAACTTAATTAATGTATTGTAAATAAGCATGAGTATCTAATTTCATTTTTCTGTATTTAACCTTTTTAATTTTTTATATCGTTAGTGTGTATTGTTGAAGACTTTTGTTTTTTTTTTTTTTTTTTTTTTAGGAACATAAATTTGAGTTTATATGTTATGTAAAATCAAATGTGATAAACTTAAGTCACATTACCTTCAGTAATATCGGTACCTGCCCAAAGTGAAAAATATAGTAAACCATAATACGAAACCAGTTGCTACACCCCCCCCCAAAAAAAAAAGAAACTGCTCTAGTTCCATTATTAAAATCTGTTTGGAAAGTTCATCAAAATTATTTATAGACCAGCTGAACTGAAAAGCCATGTGTATGATTATCCCATTGGTTATTACATAACTACATTTTTAAGTTTAATTTTTCTTGGAAAAAAATGAACATATTGTAAGGCCTATATAAATCTTAATTAGATTTGTATAATTATATTTTAATTGGGTTTCTAAGTTTTGAATAAATCTTTTTTTTTTTTTTTTTCTAATAGAAACTTAATCTAATTACACTCTTGCTTTACAAATTTTTCCTCTCCTTCAAAACAAAATTCATATTTTGAATAGATACTGATATTTGATTCGGAACATACCTTGAAAATATCCCTTCCGTACATTTAATTTAAAATGTTTTACATAATCATGAATGCTTTTAAATTTTATATTAACTTTATCAAATGCTTTAACTTAAATACTAACTTAATATAATATAAATATATGGTACTATTTGGTTTTGAGGGCCATAAAAAATCGCCAAACTATTGTTGATGCCAATGCTGCCACGAATAATTGCGGCAACCCTAATAATTGCTGCAAGAAAGGAAGTATAGTAACTATTTAAGATTGATATTTTAATTAGCTGAAGGTTAATTTTAGAATATTTTTTATTGTTATAATTATATGAAAAGCTCTAAACATGACTATGGAAGCATGAGAGTAACTATTCAGATCATTATTAAATTTATATAAAAAATTGTTAAAACATAACTGAATGGATGCCTGCATCACTATTTCACTACCGACTTATCGCTAAACTAATTTCATTTCGTTTGTTGTTCAACGTAATTTTCTATAATGAATGATGTTTTTCTTTGAAAATATTCTCGGTAAAGTGCAGAATCGCTCACTTATTTGTTTGCCGCTTTTTACAAGGTAAAAAGAATTGCATTTTTGTCATTTTCTTTACTTTTTAAGTGAAAATAGTCGATGTGATAGAAAATAAGGATGTGTTCAGTGCCTTTTATGCAATTCTATTTTTTTTTTTTTAAGTGAAAAATAGGTTGATGTTCACATGGATACCGAGTATGTGCATTCTTAAAACGCGTCAAGGAGTGGGTGATTCTCACTTTATTCAAAATTCTATTGCTGAGTTTCGTCATGGGCAATTCCCAAATTGTTATCCATGATATCAAAAAGGATTTTAAAAATAAACTAGTATTTCAATGGTGTCTTAAAATATATACTATAAACGTACGAGATCTGAAATCGCGCGTACCTAGATTTGGCTGTGTTTGCTTTTGCGCGTACATTTTCACTGCAATTTTTTTATGGTCCTCGAAACCGAATAGTACCGAATATATATTATTTATACCAGTTTAACAGCAGGATTGGAAGGTGTCAAAATTGGAGCTAGGTTTTATAATTATACCTTTCAATCAACTGTAAATGTTAAATTTTATTTTTGTAGAAAATTTTCATTTTAATTTCAGATTAGCAATTTATTTATTGTGAGATTATTAATTATAAATAGTTCAAATCATTTTCACTTGCAAAAACAGCATTTTGAAATCATTGACAAATAGATGAAAAAAAAAAAAAAAATAGCAAGAAAAAACTCACTGAAACTGAAATGCTGCAAAATTTATTGCAGACCGTTTTTGTTTATATAAACTTTTATATGAAAGGTTTTGTTTATACAGTCAAAAGTCGTTAATCCGGACTCGTTGGGACTTCGGCGATTCTGGATTATCGATTTTTCCGGATTATAGATCATCAATTTAAATCTGGTAGATGGCATGCAAATTATAAATTAAAATATGAAACCATATTTATGAAATGAAGAACAATTATGATCTAAAGGGTATCAAAATTTACAAAAAAAAAAAAAAAAAGCTTTATATTTATGTGTTTACTTTATTAAACATTTCTTTCAATATAATTTCTTTAAGTTGCTTCGTTTTTTATGTGATAATACTTCTCTTTATTCTTATAAATAATAATATAAATTTAATTCTATAAATAATAATTTTCTTGTTCAGTAACAAAGTTCCCACTGTTCAAGTCCTATAATTGCTGTGTCGAGAATACCGCCTATTTGTCACAATCGAAATTTTTTGTTTTCAATAACCTCTGTCACTTTCTTGGCTATCGGAAGCGAATTATAATGACGTGGAATTGATTAAATCATATTAAACGGAGAGTACATCGAAATGAAATACTTTTAGTAAGGAATTATAAGCCAAATAAAATAAAAACATCTGCCCTGAAAATAAGGATAGTGCTGACAAATCAACTTCCAATTCATTGCGCGCCGCGGCGTTAAAGATAAACAAAGTTAAAGTTTAGATAAACAAAGGATATGCCTTTCTCCATTTTTTGCAGCAATTCCACTTTTTGTTTAATGGACTTCGAAACATACTTTCGCTTTGTAGATCCTTTACATATTAGTAAATATATATCAGAAATTGTATTTGACATAATCGAAAGTTAAAGCTTACTTTTATAAAATTGCTCTAACACTCTGCAAAAAATAATAAGCCGAATCCAATTTGAAGATTAAGGAGCAACACAATCTGCAAAATTAACTGAATTAGATAATTTTAGCTTAGCTTATACCGTGCGTTATACATTAAACGTGCATGCGTAAACGTATTTTGCGCACACGCTTATTCGTAGCCATAAAAATCTTATGCGCAGAAAGTTTGTAGCTTTGAAGTCCGGATTATGGGTGTCCGAATTAACGGCTTTTGACTGTATAAACCTTTATATGAAAAATCTCGGTATAACATTGATATACGCCCTAATTTCACCAAATGTGGCGATACGGGTTCTGCGCTGGTTTTTGGCGCAATTGCGTGTTGTGTGGCAACCCTGTTGACGTTCAAAAATCTTTCACTAGAGCTCGTTGGTTTGTTTGTTCGCGTTTGTGTCTCAGAAGATAGGGGGAAAGATAAAGTGGTGGAAGTTGTTGAGGCGCAGTGGGTATTTGGAGGTGTGGAAAGATGGTCTGGGAGATTATTTTTAGTAGCTGTGCATGATAGAAATAGAAATCTATAATTATTTGTGAACCATAGTATGAATTTTCTGGATAGCGTGTCTGGCTGTCATATAAATACGATAGTGATTATGTGGCGCCATGTTAAAGGCAGTATGAAATTGGTATTTCTGCTGTTCGAAAAGGCATTATTTCATGGTAAGTGCATTTTATTGTAGTCTTGTTCTTATTTTGTAGAATGTTATGTTCATTGTTTTTTAGTATGAATTTCTGTCGTTATTGTTGTTTTTTTTTTGGAACTACTCTTATATACGCCCTCGCCCTTGGTCGAAACATTTCTCGCCAAATACATTTTTACGCCAAAACTCCACGGTGCCATTTTACTATCTAAATTCTTTGTCTACATTTCGAACTTAAGCCTAAAATGTCTCCACAAACGCAGTTTTCGCACATGCAAAAACCCCACTTTGAACACACAATTTAAGCTAAAAATTCCGAAACAAAAAACAAAAAATTTAGACAGCAAAAACGTAAAGTTTCTAACCAAAAATATTTGACAAGAATCCATGTACACAGCAATATGTTTTAACATAAAAAAAAAAAAAAAATCTATGAATGGCACAATCTAGGCAAAGAACGAACTACTCACACCTCGCTTTAATAAATTAATATAACAACAATAAATCTCAAAGAATACTATGTACACAGCATCCTGTTTAAACTTTAAAAAAAACATCTTTGAATTGCACAATCTAGGCAACAAACGAACTACGCACACCTCACTTTAATAAATTAACAACAATAAATTTCAAAGAATACCATGTACACAGCGTTCTATTTCAACTTTCAAAGAAATCTACGAATTGCACAGTCTAGGCGCTATGCACTAATCAACAAAAATAACAAATAAATTTCAAACAATTTAAAAAAACAACAATAATGACAGAAATTCATAGTAAAAAAACAATGAACATAACATTCTACAAAATAAGAACAAGAATAAAATAAAGTGCACATACCATGAATTAATGCTTTTTCGAACAACAAAAATAGCAATTTCATGCCGCCATGTAATCACTATCGTATTTATATGACAGCCAGGCACACTATCCAGAAAATTCATACTATGGTTCACAAATAAATAAAATCACAAATCCCTATTTCTATCATGCACAGCCACTAAAAAT